TACATCTTTGTTTACAGCAACAACTAGAGTGTATGGATCATCTTGCATCAATGTTGAACTGCGACGAACTCTCTCTTTACGAGGAATAATACTACCACCACGCTGAAATACTGGAATCTAAATAAACATAATTTTACATATTGATGGTACATTATAATACAAATGTCATCGTGGATTCTTCAGTTGATTGTCTGTCTGTGTGTCTGTGTGTGTGACTACTCACAATATAGAAACTATCATACACATATAGGAATACTACCGTATAAATAAATCCTTTTCCAGGATCTATGGGGTCCTTACTGGTCATTGTTTGTGTTTTTTTTCAATGTAGTACTATAAAGTCTACTTTTGAGGCCACGACCAAAACTTACCTTATTGAGAGGTGCACTTATACTGATTAAACCTTTGCCAGTATAAACTTTATGGTTGTCAACATCATACCATACCTGGTAATGAAAAACAATACACTTTAGAACCATACAGAGACAACTGTACCTCCTTTACTTTATTGACAGACAGACATACAGACAGGCAGGTAGGTAGGTGGGTAGGTCAACTTACAGACTTACACCCCCTTCCTTGATGACCACTTTGTGCTGGCCTTTCCTACTTACAAAATACAATTTACTAGAAAAATGGAAAATCTGTCTGAATTGCATCTTTGTACTTGATTCAGTGAAAAGAACTATTTAATTCAAATCTGAGGTGGCTAGATACTCTGGTCGCTTTGAAGATATGATTCTCAGTTTATGGCTGCTGGAGGACATGTCACTAATTACATACGGGTATGAACAATTGTCTATACAAATTTCATTCTCAATCAGAACCTTGGTTACAGGCAGCTTCCATGTACAGCATTAGCCTGTTTCAGTAAGGCATGCTCTAATCAGTTGACAAATTCCATCAGATAAAAATGGAACATGATTGGTTAATTAGATGTAGCAGCCATAAACCATTGACATCAGAGGCAATCAGAACCTCTACCTACATCACATGTAAATCAGATTGAAGAATGTGTATAGAGTTTAACATTTAGTTAACTGATGTAAAAAAAAAAAAAAAAGTACAGATTAGATTACCTGTCCCTGTCCTGGGAAATAAACATTTACTGAATATGTGGCTGCATCAGTAACTGGATGAACCAACAAACTACTCCCTGAAACAAACAATATAAAGAACATTTGACTCATTGTCTATCTATCAATAATAGTTAAAGCTGGGAGACAATTTTCAATTTTTGCAAAAAGTAAAAAAAAAAATACAAAATTAGCAAATTACTAAAACACTGGATAAATGATTAGTAGAAAATAACCAAAGAGACCTACAAATTTGGCTAAAAGTTTAGTAGAAGATAATCGAAGGGACATATAAATTTGGCTAAAAGATTAGCAGAAGAATTTCCCAGGTCACTTACATGTACAAGTTGACAGATGAGAGAAGCATTCAGATTGGAGCAAAATAGATTATAAATATGTATGGGCAAATATGGGCCTGTATTTTAATGTAGGTATTCTCACCAATTAAATATTCATCTTCAATAGAAAAAGTGTCAACATCATCAGGAAAATCAATCCATAGAGGTCTGAAAAAAGGCAAAAATATTAGATCCAATTATTCATGGTCGGATAAATCAAATATTCAATGAAGATGCCAAATTATGTGAATTGTGACAAATGTACATTTCTTAGAATCACAAACAACCTGTCGCACAATGTGATGTGGGAATTACACAGTACATTACACAATGTCTCAGGACCTGTGAAAATTCATACATTTT